GCGCCGCAGCGTTCGCCCACACAGGGTCCGGGTGAAAAGGGCCGCCCAAGGGCCCTGCCTGCAGAGTCACAGAGAAGGCTGACATGGCCCTCAGGCCCCACGTGCCCCCCGCCGAGGCCGTAACATGCCAACGCCGTCTGCAGCTTCCCCTCTGCTCCAGGGATCACGGCCCTGGCCCCTGAGGGCAGCTCAACACCTCCCGTGCGCTCCTGAGTCTGTACCTCTCTGGGGGTGCGAAGCTAGAGGCGGCCATCAGGTTCTGGCAGAAAGACGTGAGCAGCAGGTCCACGACCTGAAGAGGGACAGGGCCAGGGGCCACCAAGCAGTAAGTGAGCCTGATGCCACCGCAGCTGTGCCGCGGCCTCCAAGCCTGCCATGCAAACAGGCCTGCAGCTACAGGGACTAGCTGCTGGGCAGCACCGCCCCACCCGGGAGACCTCACGGTAGCGAGCAGGGTCGGCCAGCCTCGTCTGTGAAGGTCAAGAGTCAATTTTTAAAGATTTGCTACTGGGCATGTGTGCTTGGCCAGACAAGGGAGAGGGGGGAGGGCCATAGCAAGACAGAGCACCTCCCAGGGCAGCCACGTGCCAGCCCTGCCTCCCTCCTCCCACCGCAGAATGCTTCCCCCAGCTAGTTTTGCACTCATTAGAGACAGAGAGAAGGAAAGTGAAAAATCTCCCCCAGGGAAGTTGGTCCTGCAACCCCTTCTCCTCCACTGCCCCTCGGGACTTCAGGCACGCCTACCCACACACCCAGTGATTTTTCAAGCTGTCACGTCTGGTACTGAGACCACAAAGTCAGCACGTGGGGTCCAGCATGCGTATTCACCAGAGACAGAAGAAAAGCGAGGCACCAGTTCTGGGATTTGACCTGCAGTTGGCCACGTGCGAGTTCAACACCTCAAGGACCAGGCCACATGCTGGCCCAAGTCTTCTTGAAAGATGTAGAGTTCTGCGACCAGCAGGTGGCATGGTGGCTAGGTGCTGGACTCCCACATGGCTGACCACAGTTCAAGGCCAGACCTGCTGGCTTGAAAAGCGCACTGGGTGCATGTGTGTGTGTGCGTACCCAAATCGCCAGAGAATGGAGAAGGGACTGTGAGGCGGCCATCCCCCCAGGGAGCAACTTCTCACTTTCTCTGTCTCTCACCGTCTCTTTGGCAAGTGCTTGTGCCTTATGACAAAAACCTAAACAAAGACACAAGAAAGCGTGGAGTCCCTCGTACAGCGACGGCTGGGGTACGCTGGCCGGCCCTGGCACGGAGACTGCCCAGCCCTGGACAGCCGGTCCACGTGCACACAGCTTAGCAGAACAAGCGAGAACCGAGGCCTTTCTGCGCGTACTTTCTGCACAGGCTGAGGAGTGGCCGATGCCTGCGCCCGCCTACCTCCTGGTCCTGTGGCACGAGGCTGGGAGCAAGGACGTCTAGCTGGATCGCGGGGCTCTCCACGCTGCCGTCGTCCTCACTGCGGCCCAGGGCGGTGTACACTCTCCCAGCAATCATGGCCATGTGTGCAGGGACAGCTGCGGGCCGAGTGGGCAGGGGCAGGTGAGGATGGAGGGTGCCCAGAGGGGGCCCAGCGGCTGACACACATCTGCAAGGCATGGACACTGTGGGCCCCGCACCTTCGTGACGGGTGGGGTCTGCCATCGCGGCTCGGAGCTCTCCCAGTGCGGCCGTGAGTGGTCCCAGGGGTCCCTCAGCACAGTCAGGGTCTGCCCTCGCTTCTGGGGCTGCACCTGAGGGGGCAAGTGAGCACTCGGGCAGGCAGGAAGTACCTCCAGCAGGACTTCCCGCAGCAGAGAGGGAGGGAGGTCGCAGGGAGAGAGAGACAGAGAGGTGGAGAGAGAGACAGACAGACGGAGAGAGGTCAGAGAGAGAGAGAGAGACAGAGAGGTGGAGAGACAGACAGAGAGACGGAGAGGTCACAGAGAGAGAGAGAGAGACAGAGAGGTGGAGAGATAGACAGCAGAGAGGGAGAGAGGTCACAGAGAGAGAGAGAGACAGAGAGGTGGAGAGATAGACAGACAGACGGAGAGAGGTCACAGAGAGAGAGAGAGACAGACAGGTGGAGAGACAGACAGAGACGGAGAGAGGTCACAGAGAGAGAGAGACAGAGAGGTGGAGAGACAGACAGAGAGACGGAGAGAGGTCACAGAGAGAGAGAGACAGACAGGTGGAGAGACAGACAGAGAGACGGAGAGAGGTCACAGAGAGAGACAGAGAGGTGGAGAGACAGACAGAGAGACGGAGAGAGGTCACAGAGAGAGACAGACAGGTGGAGAGACAGACAGAGAGACGGAGAGAGGTTGCAGAGAAAGACAGACAGGTGGAGAGACAGAAAGATAGAGAGAGAGAGAGGTCATAGAGAGACAGACAGAGAGACGGAGAGAGGTCACAGAGAGAGACAGACAGGAGGAGAGACAGACAGAGAGACGGAGAGAGGTCACAGAGAGAGACAGACAGGAGGAGAGACAGACAGAGAGACGGAGAGAGGTCACAGAGAGAGACAGACAGGAGGAGAGACAGACAGAGAGACGGAGAGAGGTCACAGAGAGAGACAGACAGGAGGAGAGACAGACAGAGAGACGGAGAGAGGTCACAGAGAGAGACAGACAGGAGGAGAGACAGACAGAGAGACGGAGAGAGGTCACAGAGAGAGACAGACAGGAGGAGAGACAGACAGAGAGACGGAGAGAGGTCACAGAGAGAGACAGACAGGAGGAGAGACAGACAGAGAGACGGAGAGAGGTCACAGAGAGAGACAGACAGGAGGAGAGACAGACAGAGAGACGGAGAGAGGTCACAGAGAGAGACAGACAGGAGGAGAGACAGACAGAGAGACGGAGAGAGGTCACAGAGAGAGACAGACAGGAGGAGAGACAGACAGAGAGACGGAGAGAGGTCACAGAGAGAGACAGACAGGAGGAGAGACAGACAGAGAGACGGAGAGAGGTCACAGAGAGAGACAGACAGGAGGAGAGACAGACAGAGAGACGGAGAGAGGTCACAGAGAGAGACAGACAGGAGGAGAGACAGACAGAGAGACGGAGAGAGGTCACAGAGAGAGACAGACAGGAGGAGAGACAGACAGAGAGACGGAGAGAGGTCACAGAGAGAGACAGACAGGAGGAGAGACAGACAGAGAGACGGAGAGAGGTCACAGAGAGAGACAGACAGGAGGAGAGACAGACAGAGAGACGGAGAGAGGTCACAGAGAGAGACAGACAGGAGGAGAGACAGACAGAGAGACGGAGAGAGGTCACAGAGAGAGACAGACAGGAGGAGAGACAGACAGAGAGACGGAGAGAGGTCACAGAGAGAGACAGACAGGAGGAGAGACAGACAGAGAGACGGAGAGAGGTCACAGAGAGAGACAGACAGGAGGAGAGACAGACAGAGAGACGGAGAGAGGTCACAGAGAGAGACAGACAGGAGGAGAGACAGACAGAGAGACGGAGAGAGGTCACAGAGAGAGACAGACAGGAGGAGAGACAGACAGAGAGACGGAGAGAGGTCACAGAGAGAGACAGACAGGAGGAGAGACAGACAGAGAGACGGAGAGAGGTCACAGAGAGAGACAGACAGGAGGAGAGACAGACAGAGAGACGGAGAGAGGTCACAGAGAGAGACAGACAGGAGGAGAGACAGACAGAGAGACGGAGAGAGGTCACAGAGAGAGACAGACAGGAGGAGAGACAGACAGAGAGACGGAGAGAGGTCACAGAGAGAGACAGACAGGAGGAGAGACAGACAGAGAGACGGAGAGAGGTCACAGAGAGAGACAGACAGGAGGAGAGACAGACAGAGAGACGGAGAGAGGTCACAGAGAGAGACAGACAGGAGGAGAGACAGACAGAGAGACGGAGAGAGGTCACAGAGAGAGACAGACAGGAGGAGAGACAGACAGAGAGACGGAGAGAGGTCACAGAGAGAGACAGACAGGAGGAGAGACAGACAGAGAGACGGAGAGAGGTCACAGAGAGAGACAGACAGGAGGAGAGACAGACAGAGAGACGGAGAGAGGTCACAGAGAGAGACAGACAGGAGGAGAGACAGACAGAGAGACGGAGAGAGGTCACAGAGAGAGACAGACAGGAGGAGAGACAGACAGAGAGACGGAGAGAGGTCACAGAGAGAGACAGACAGGAGGAGAGACAGACAGAGAGACGGAGAGAGGTCACAGAGAGAGACAGACAGGAGGAGAGACAGACAGAGAGACGGAGAGAGGTCACAGAGAGAGACAGACAGGAGGAGAGACAGACAGAGAGACGGAGAGAGGTCACAGAGAGAGACAGACAGGAGGAGAGACAGACAGAGAGACGGAGAGAGGTCACAGAGAGAGACAGACAGGAGGAGAGACAGACAGAGAGACGGAGAGAGGTCACAGAGAGAGACAGACAGGAGGAGAGACAGACAGAGAGACGGAGAGAGGTCACAGAGAGAGACAGACAGGAGGAGAGACAGACAGAGAGACGGAGAGAGGTCACAGAGAGAGACAGACAGGAGGAGAGACAGACAGAGAGACGGAGAGAGGTCACAGAGAGAGACAGACAGGAGGAGAGACAGACAGAGAGACGGAGAGAGGTCACAGAGAGAGACAGACAGGAGGAGAGACAGACAGAGAGACGGAGAGAGGTCACAGAGAGAGACAGACAGGAGGAGAGACAGACAGAGAGACGGAGAGAGGTCACAGAGAGAGACAGACAGGAGGAGAGACAGACAGAGAGACGGAGAGAGGTCACAGAGAGAGACAGACAGGAGGAGAGACAGACAGAGAGACGGAGAGAGGTCACAGAGAGAGACAGACAGGAGGAGAGACAGACAGAGAGACGGAGAGAGGTCACAGAGAGAGACAGACAGGAGGAGAGACAGACAGAGAGACGGAGAGAGGTCACAGAGAGAGACAGACAGGAGGAGAGACAGACAGAGAGACGGAGAGAGGTCACAGAGAGAGACAGACAGGAGGAGAGACAGACAGAGAGACGGAGAGAGGTCACAGAGAGAGACAGACAGGAGGAGAGACAGACAGAGAGACGGAGAGAGGTCACAGAGAGAGACAGACAGGAGGAGAGACAGACAGAGAGACGGAGAGAGGTCACAGAGAGAGACAGACAGGAGGAGAGACAGACAGAGAGACGGAGAGAGGTCACAGAGAGAGACAGACAGGAGGAGAGACAGACAGAGAGACGGAGAGAGGTCACAGAGAGAGACAGACAGGAGGAGAGACAGACAGAGAGACGGAGAGAGGTCACAGAGAGAGACAGACAGGAGGAGAGACAGACAGAGAGACGGAGAGAGGTCACAGAGAGAGACAGACAGGAGGAGAGACAGACAGAGAGACGGAGAGAGGTCACAGAGAGAGACAGACAGGAGGAGAGACAGACAGAGAGACGGAGAGAGGTCACAGAGAGAGACAGACAGGAGGAGAGACAGACAGAGAGACAAAGAGAGGTCACAGAGAGACAGAGAGAGAGCAGCGGAGAGGCCGCGAAGCCCGACCTGGAGCTGCCCTGGCCACGGCTAGTGCGGAGGCCGAGGCAGCATGAAGGCTCCTCAATGCCCTCAGACTGCAGCAGCAACCAGCTTGGGTGCAGGCAGCGGCGGCACAACTCTGACCCAGCGGGCCGGAACCACAGCAGGCACAGGACCAGGGCCCAGGGCCCTACATGCCGAGGACGACAGGAAGGACGGACGGCAGTGACCAGACCTTGTGTGGACAGCTCCTCCCCCTGCACCACCTCAACGAGCAGAGACTACTATAAATCACACACAAGTCTTGAAAAAATTCGGGGCAGCAGGTGGGACGATGGCTAAGGCCCACACAGCCGGCCACAGCTTGAGTCCAAGACCTAGCAGCTTACTTTCTCATTTTCCCTGTCTCTAGCTGTTCAAATTAAAAAATGACCAGTTAAATTAAGTAACAGTTTCTTTAAAAATGAAGCTGTTTAGGCCTCAGCACAGTGGCCAAAGTGGGGGTACACTGCTGCGTCACGGCTGAGGTCGTGCTGGAGCACAGGCTGGGCAGTGGGCACCCCTCGACCCTGTCAAAGACCCTCTCCTCTCAAAACAAGAGGAAGAGAGAAAAGCAGGAGGGTGTGGCGAGGTGGTCCACTCTCTTGAGGCTCCTTCAGGCCATAGAGGGTCCGTGAGCTGTTCCCACACTGGTCTGGGGGCCTTGGGTAGGGACCCTTGCTCTCGGACACGGACGTTCCTGGATCTCCACGGGAAGCACTCAGCTTTTGAGAGAAGTGCTTTAGGCAGGCAAAGCTAGGAAGAAAGGCTGCAGCACACAACGCAGCCTCTTCGGCCCGCCCGGCCCAGGAGAGGTGAGAGGGTCTAAAACATCGAACACCCCCCTCCAGCCACGAGGTGCCGCCGCCTGCCCATGACAAAGCCACACCCCAAGGGCACGGGGCCTCCCTGCAGCACCTCGCGTGAGCGCCGGCCTTCCGTGGCCTAGTGTCCACTGAACCCTAACCCAGGTCTACGCCACTGCTCTGTCAGCAGGGAGCCCCTCAGGCCGCCAGACTGTGGACAGCCAGGACGGCTGTGCACGACCGACAGGCACATTGGTGTCAGCGGCACAGGCTCGAGGCCATGGAGACACCTGACTGGGAGCGAGGGCACCACCACTCAGGGCTGCGTGCGGTCCACAGTACCTCCCAGACTGCACCCCTGTGAGCCGGTGGTGTCAGTCTGTCCATTCGGAGGCATGACCGGGTCTGGCCTAAGCTGGCAGGCTCGGCAAACACGCTGTCTCACCGGGGCACTGGGCAGGGTGGGGCGGGAGCAAGCGGGGCACAGCGGCTGCCCAGGGGCCCTACCGTGCGGCTGCACGTGTGCGGCGGTGCAGCAGGCCTGGCAGTAGCTGGAGTAGAGGCTGGGCGGGATCTTCTCTGCTCTGCACCAGGAGAAAGCAGGACTAGATGCACGGAACCCTCCAGGTGGTAATCCCAAACGTCACCGTGGAAGAGAAGACGTTACTTCAAACCCAACACACAGCCGCATGATATGGCCCCCAGACAAACATCACCGGTGTCATCAGGAGACTCGCTCGGGGGCCAACGGTTTTGGCATCCGGAAGGCCAGAGCACACAGGGCCAACAGGTGGTCACCGAACGGGTCCGAGTTCAGGATGAACTCATACTGCTTTTTAAAAATTTTCTCGAGAGTGAGTGCTCACTGGAGAGAGTGGCCCTCATTGGTGTCCTCACGTACCTCCTCAGAGACTCTATAAAAGCCATACGGGGATCCGGGACGCTCGGCAGCTGGGGAAGGCAGAGGCGGGGGTGAGGCAGGGGAAATGCCCTCGCTCCCCAGACACGGCCCTGGCCCACGGAGTACTGACCACTCGCGGCGACAGCAGGGCCGGCAGGAAGTGGGACAGGTAGTAGGGCCTCCTGAAGATGCTGGAACACAGGCACAGGCACAGGGCGGCCTCAGCGCTCCCACGGCAGCTCCTGCCGCTGCGCTCGGGAGGGAGGCCCCACCGTCCCCGCTCCAAGGCCGTGGCTTGTCATTATTCCTTCTCTTTTTAGATTCCTCACCAGGATGACAAAGTGAGAGAGAGGAAGCGAGAAATCCCCTCCCCTGGGGGATGGCCATGCACAGCCCCTTCCACTCTCCTGGGATCTGGGCACACGCGCCTGGTGGGGTATCTCGAGACGCCAGGCCCAGCACTGGGGTGGCCGCATGGACCCAGTACCTCGCCCACCACACCACTGCTGGCCATCGTCACTGCGCTCA